TCTCATTCAAATTCCTAAAGGCCTAACATTTTAAAGGATTGCTACAGTCTCAACATTTGGGTAAGATAGAAATAATTACTATATTTTAAATTTTTACATGTAAAATATTATTTAAATATATAATGCAACAATTTAAATTAATACCCAGGTAAAAAATAAGAAAATAGTGGCAGAATTTTCTTGGTTTATTAAATCTGAAAATATGTCAATGTTGTGTGAGTGACTGGTTTGCTGGAGTGGCATCTCTATTATGTTATTGACCTAGACATAATGATTTATTTAATGAGGTAGAACTGTAAAACGATAAAATGGGACAGGAAAACTTGAAAAACAATTTGCAGTGAATTAAAGAAAAACAAGGGGAAGGAATAAAATAAGCAGAAAACAGGTAGGTGGTTAAGGACAGAAAGGCCAAACAAAGAAAAAAAGGTATTTAGGATAGGCTGAACATGAGGGAGGGAAAAGGCTTTGGATGTTGGATGTACATGTTTGTCTTAACCCTAAACTTTTTCAAAATTGTTTTTCAAGTTTTCCTGTCCCATTTTATCATTTTTCTCATCTCTTCTTGTATTTTTTATTAAGGTAGTCTGCAGTGAAATTAGTGATATGAACTCCAGGCAGATTATAAATTCTTACTGCTCTCAACATTTTACTCTCTCATGCTATCATGTTCTTTGTTCTGTGGTGTACTTTGAATTCTGTCCCATGAGCAAGTTGTTTCATTAAAGCCCCTACCATTTTCTTATTTTCTGCACTCAAATAGTTCCCATCAATTTCTTGTCCTCCTAGAGCATTTATTTTGGTGTTTGGCACCAATCTTGAAGGGATTTTTGTTTGTTTTGTTCTTAGAGGGTCTGTCATTTCTTTATAACCATCAGTTTCAGATTTTGAGCTCCAAGAGTGCTTATAGTATTTTCCCTCTCAGTTTTTAAAAAGAATCTTTGGTTTCTTTTGCTTAATCCAGGGCTGAAGGTTAGGATACTGAACAGTTTCAGTAGGAACAACACTGAGGAGTTAGATTGAAAAATGGATAGAAACACAGGAAAGCCATGTTCCAAAGCTATTTAAGAGCTTTCACCACCTCTGCTGACTTGAAATGCCATCTGTTAGCCAGACAATGCCATTGGTGTGGTACCACATGCATTTGGTGGAGTCTTAATGTGTTTGCCTTGCTTGCCTTAAGATCTCAATTTCTTTGTCTCACTAAGGATTCCAATGCATGAATATGTAGTTTGATTCGGAAAACATCAATGAAGTCTCCTCATTCTCCCTCTAGGTAAGAGAGGTGTGAGAAAGTGAGTTTGTAGCCTTTTGTTTGGGCTTCTAGAGAGGAAGGAAGCCTCCGACTACCTCTGACTATTCATAAATTCGAAAGTGATTCCTATGTGTCTATCTAATAATTGAAACCTCTCCACATTACAGTGTCTGTACTATAACCTCCCCAGTATTCCCTCTTTTCCTCCACGTTTCTTTTCTTACACTCTCTAAGGAGAAGGTTAACCATAACTCTGCTTCCAACTGCTCTATTTGCACCAAGTGCTTACTTGGTGCAACAAATATTGCTTACTTCAGAGTTTGGTAAAGACATAGATCTAACTGTATTCATTCCACTTGGATGCTGAGAAGGTGCTCCTTCCTGTAATTTTTTATTTAATATTTTTTTCATTAAAAATACATTTTTTTCATATGATATATTTCAATTCTGATTTCTCTTCCCTCTACACCTGCCAGTTCTCCCCTCTTCCCCTTCCATTCAGACCTACTCCCTCTCTGTCTCTCATTAGAAAAGAACAGGCTACTAAGAAATAACAACAAAACAAAACATTTAAAACTGTAAAACAAAAATTTCATTAAATTGGGTGGACACACAAACACAAGGAAAAAGAGGTCAAGAGAAGGCACCAGAAGCAGAGACCTGCTCAATCACACACTCAGGAATCCCATAAGCTAGAAGCCATAGGGGAGCTGGTGCAGACCTGTGCAGGTCCTGTGCATGCTGCCCCAGTCTGTGAGTGCATATGAGCTGTGATCATGCTGATTTAGAGGGCACCCCCACATCTTCTGGTTCTTATACTCTTTCTGCCTCCACTCCCACAGCGTTCCTTGATCTCTAAGGGAAGGGATTTGATAGATATGTCCCATTTAGTGCTGAGTTTTCTCATTTATTTATTTATTTATTTATTTATTTATTTATTTATTTATTTATTTATTTATTTATTCTTGATGGCCAATGATGCGACCAGATCAGTGATTTCTGATCACTGTGATTTAATTCTCCTTCTATGCTTCTCTTTGATATCTATTATATAACTGGATCTCAGTCAATGTGTATACTGAATGCTTTTAATCACCATACCATCAGGGCAATTGCCTTTTAATGTATGGACTAGAAAATATACTTATCTTGGCTTCAGCATAGGAACATTTTTGAGCATATATCCCTAAAGCACTCTTAAATATAAACTTTATTGCTACAATAGTGCTTAATCAACTACATTTTATATAAAACATTCTTCTGGGCCACCAATAAGGTTAGTTTGTTTGGAAAACTTAGGACAGTAATTGTATCTTGGGTCCCTTACTCTAACATTTTTCTTAAAGCTTTTTTTAAAAAAAATATTTTATTTGATTATTTATTAAAATTTTTACTTTGTAGCTCGGCTGCAGCCTCCTTCTTCATCTCCTCCCAGTCCCATCCAGCTTCCCCTTTCTCCCCCTATGCCCTTTCCCTAGTCCCCTGATAGAGGAGCACCTCCTTCCTTTCTATCTGACCTTAGCCTATCAGGTCTCATAAGGCTGGCTGTATCATCTTCCTAAGTAGCCTGGCAAAGCTGCATCTCCCCAGGGATAGGTGATCAAGAGCTGGCCATTGAGTTCATGTCAGAAACAGCCTCTGTACCCCTTACTAGTGAGCCTACTTGGAAACCGAGAAGCCTATGGGTTTCCTCTGAACAGGAGATCTAGGTTCTCTCTATGCATGGTCCTTGGTTGGAGTATCAATCTCTACAGGCACCATTGGCTCTGCTGGTGTCCTTGTGGAGTTTCTGTTCTCTCCAGGTCCTTTTATAGCCCTTTTCTTCCATAAGGTTTCCGTGACTCTGCCTAAAGTTTGGCTATGAGTCTCAGTATCTTCTTTGATACCCTGGTGGGTAGAGTCTTTTAGAGGTCCTCTGTGGAAGGCTCCTGTCCTGTTACTTCTCTATTTTCAATGTATATCTTGTTTGCCCTTCTGAATGAGAATTAAGCATCTTTCCTAGGGTCCTCCTTGTTGCTTAGCTTCTTTAGGACTATAGATTTTAGTATGTTTATCCCATATTATATGGCTAATATCCACTTATAAGTGAGTATATAGCATATGTGTCTTTCTACTTCTGGGTTACCTCACTCAGGATGGTCATTTTTACTTCCCATCATTTGCCTGCAAGTTTCATGATTTCCTTGTTTTAAATTACTGAGTAATATTCCATTGTGTAAGTGTACCACACTTTCTGTATCCATTCCTCCTTTGAGGGACAAGTAGTTTGTTTACAGATTCTGGATATTACAAATAAAGCTGCTGTGAACATAGTTGAGCAAATGTTGTTATTGAATGGTGGGGCATCTTTTGGGTATATACCCAGGAGTAGTATAGCTGGATCTTGAGGTAACACTATTCCTAATTGTCTGAGAAATCACCAGGTTGATTTCCAACTTGGTTGTACAAGTTTACATTCCCACTAGCAATGGAGGAGGGTTTCCCTTTCTCCATACCCTCTCCAACATGCATCACCCTTTGAGTTTTTGATCTTAGCCATTCTGATGGGTATGAGGTGAAATCTCAGGGTCGTTTTGATTTGCATCTCCCTGATGACTAAGGACGTTGAACATTTCCTTAAGTGTTTTTTGGCCATTTGACATTCCTCTATTGAGAATTCTCTGTTTAGCTCTGTACCTCATTTTTTAAATTGGATTACTTGATTTGTTACTGTTTAACTTCTTTAGTTCTTTATATATACTGGATATTAGCCGTCTGTCAGATATAGGTTTGGTGAAGATCCTTTCCCAATCTGTAGGCTGTCGTTTTGTTCTGACGACAGTGTCCTTTGTTTTACAGAAGCTTTTCAGTTTCATGAGGTCCCATTTTTTAATTATTGATCTTAGAGCCTGTGCTGTTGGTGTTCTGTTCAGGCAGTTGTCTCCTGTGCTTATGAGGTCAAGGCTCTTCACCACTTTTTCTTCTAACAGATTTAGTGTGTCTGGTTTTATGTTGAGGTCTTTGATCCACTTGGACTTTACCTTTGTTCAGAGTGATTAATATGGGTCTATTTGGATTTTCCTACATGTAGACATCCAGTTAGACCAGCACCATTTGTTGAAGATGCTGTCTTTTTTCCATTGTATGGTTTCCATTGTATGGTCTTTGTCAAAAATTAAGTTTCCATAGGTATGTGGGCTTTTGTTCTGGGCATTTGATTCCATTCCATTGATCCATGAGTCTGTTTCTATGCTAGAGCCATGCAGTTTTTATTACTGTTGCCCTGAAAATGCATATTTAAAAATGTATCTATAAAAATAATTCCACACCTTGTGAATATCATTAGAAACCTATTCCTAAGGAATAAAATACAAATTCCTTTACAAGATAATGTAGTTTCTAATCCAGTATATTCTATTAGCTTTCCTCATGTTTATTCAGCAAAAATAAGACAAAAAATTCTAGTGTTGGTGTGTTTTCCAATCAATGCATCGCAGTCTTAGAAGATCTCCCATTCACTCTTAATTTGTTACTGTTTACTCATTACTGCACAAAATCAACTGAAACATTTTGTCATTTTTAATTTCTGGAGTATTCCTTCTGTCACAGTACAGACTATAAGAAAAGTGCAAAAAAAAAAAAAAAGAAAAGAAAAGTGCAATATTATGCCATCACTAGAGGCTTTTTCAATATTCATATAAATCTTTCCCAGTGATTACTGCCTTATGTTTATTACATTTAATTTCAGGAGACATTCAATGACAACATGGAAAAGGAAAATGAAAAACTGTGGACAGAGTTTGTTCTCACAAGTCTCATATGCCAACCTCAGTGGAAAATCCTCCTGTTCCTGGTTTTCTTGGTAATATACCTCATGACCATCGTGGGGAACCTAGGTCTCATCACCCTTATCTGGAATGACCCTCAACTCCACATCCCCATGTACTTATTCCTAAGTAACTTAGCCCTTGTGGATACTTGGTTATCATCCACAGTGACACCAAAGATGCTATTTAATCTTTTGGACAAGGGCAAGGTGATTTCTGTCCCTGAATGCATGATACAATTTTTTTCCGTTGCAATTTGTGTGACCATGGAATGTTTTCTCTTGGCATCAATGGCTTATGATCGCTTTGCAGCTATATGCAATCCATTGCTTTATCCGGTAGTTATGACCAATAGAGTATGCATTTGCCTGTTAGCATTATCGTTTGTAGGTGGCTTTCTTCATGCTATAATCCATGAAAGCCTTTTATTCAGATTAACCTTCTGTAATTCCAACATATTACATCATTTTTACTGCGATATTATACCACTGTTAAAAATTTCTTGTACGGATCCTTCCTTGAATTATCTGATCATTTTCATTTTCTCTGGTTCAATACAAGTGTTCACCATTATGACTGTTTTTATCTCTTATACGTTTGTTCTTGTCTCAATTTTAAAAAAGAAGTCTGACAAGGGCCTAAGGAAAGCTTTCTCCACCTGTGGAGCCCACTTCATATCTGTGTTTTTATACTTTGGGCCTCTTCTCTTCATGTATGTCCACCCAGCATCTTCAGAAGTAGATGATCAAGACATGATCTTCTCTCTGTTTTACACAGTTATAATCCCTGTATTAAATCCAATTATTTACAGTCTCAGAAATAAGCAAGTTATAGATTCTCTGAAAAAAATGTTGAAAATTACAGTTTAGATCTTACTAATATCTGTTAATTTTATTAAAATTCACAATATTGTACAAAATGTGAAATTTTGCATTTAAATAACTTTGAAATTATAAATGTTAAGTGAGATTATTAAACTTCAATTTTAATATGCAATTATCCCCTTAATACACTGGAAAATATCTGCATTCATTGTCATATGCATATATGTAAACTTTTTTAAATTAAATTTTCATTTTTTTAATATTAGTTACAGTTTATTAACTTTGTATCCCAGCTGCATCCCACTCCCTCATTTCCTCCCAATCCAATCCTCCCTCCCTCAGTTTCTCCCTGCCTCTTTCCTAGTCCACTAATAAGGGAGGACCTCCTCCCCTTTCATCTGACCCTAGCTTATCAAGTATCTTCAGGACTGGCTGCAAAGTCCTCCTCTCTGGCCTAGCAGGGCTGCTCCTCCCTTGGGGGGGGTGTTAAAGAGCCAGCCATTGAGTTCATGTCAGAGACAGTCCCTGTTCCCCTTACTAGGGTACCCACTTCGATACTGAGCTACCATGGGCTAAATCTGAGCAGGGGTTCTAGGTTATATCCATACATGGTCCTTGGTTGGAGATACAGTCTCATAAAAGATACTTGTGCCCAGATATACTTGGTTCTTGTGGAGCTTAGGTCCTCTCTAGGTCATACTAACTCCCCTTTCTTTCATTTGATTTCCTGCACTCTGCCAAAAGTTCGGTTATGAGTCTCAGTATCTGCTTTGATACACTGCTAGGTAGAGTTTTTCAGAGGCCTTCTGTGGTAGGTTCCTGTCCTGTTACTTGCTTTCTCCTACTTCCCATGTCCATCCCATTTGTCTTTCTAAGTGAGGATTGATCATTTTACCCCGGGTCGTCTTTCTTGTTTATCTTCCTTAGGTGTACAGATTTTAGTATGTTTATCCTATCTTATAGGTCTAGTACCCACTTATAAGTGAATATATACCATATGTATCTTTCTCCTTCTGGGATAGCTCACTCAGAATGATCTTTTCTACATCCCACCATTTGCCTGCAAATTTCATGATTTCCTTGTTTTTAATTGCTGAGTAGTATTCTATTGTGTAAAAGTGCTACAATTTCTGTATCCATTCCTCCGTTGTTGGACATCTGGGTTGTTTCCAGCAAAATGACCCTGAGATTTTTACCTTACATCCATCTGATTGGCTAAGATCAAAAACTCAAGTGACAACATATGCTGGAGAGGTTGTAGAGAAAGGGGAACCATCCTCCATTGCTGTTGGGCATGTAAACTTGTACAACCACTTCGGAAATCAATCTGGCGCTTTCTCAGACAATTAGGAATAGTGCTACCTCAAGATCTAGCTATACCACTCCTAGGTATATATCCAAAAGATGCTCAAAGACACAACAAGGACATTTGCTCAACCATGTTTGTAACAGCTTTATTCGCAATATGTAAGCTTTTAATAAAGTGTTCTTATATCATAATAAAACAGCAAGGAAACAATTTATAGTTGCATGTTATTATGTTATACATGTATCAAATATTATAATCATTTTATTTCTCTCAGTAGGCCTTGAGTGTGGTACTTTAGAAAGGATCTTATACTACACACCCCGAAAGTCATGTCACATTTACTCTATGTTGTTGGCAGGTTTGTGTAGGAGTAGAAAACCTCAGGAGTTTTGATAGCCATCAAATGTCTTTCATGACATATTTGAGGTGAAATTCTGAATATCTTTTGCTGAAGAAAGTCAACTCCTATACGTTACACAGAAAGTACCAAGATGGTATTAGCTCATTGCACTTTTTTTTTTTAACCTTCAAATGATAATTTTATTTCCATGTTATAAGACAGAAATATTTTCCAAAATATTCCAAAGAGAATATGTTCAATATAAGCCATAATAAAAACTGGAGGAATTGTTACACATGGAAACAAACTTTTTAATTTTATAGAATATAATGCAGTCATCTAATTAAAATAAATGAAAGTCAATCTGTATTGCCATATATGTATATCAAAATATATAGATGATGAAATAGAGCATAATACATAAATTTAAAGCCCACAAATAGTAATGCACATTTAGATATGCTTACATACTAAAATGTGGGCTAATATGCATACTTTATGACAGCAAGTCTTAAATAGAAGACAATGAAATTTTGAAAGTACAATTTTTAATACAAAATAAAAGTAGTATTTATTATATTCAGAGCTATTATATTATCTTCTGCAAATTTTTGTATTTGGGTTATTTCATAAATTTCAAAAGCTCTTTTATGGCTGATTTTTCAGCCTGCTATGTGTTATGTGTACTGTGTGCATGCAGAGGTCTGAAAAAGGCATTAGGTCCCCTGGAACTGAAGTTACATCAATCATGGGTCAAAAATGCCCCACAGATTTGTCTATAGGCCAATCTGACAGAGGAATATTCTCAATTGAGGTTTCATCTTTTCAAGTTACCTCCTCAGATTAGCCATATCAAGTTGAGACAACAACAAAAACTAAACAACACAGAGGACTCTGAAATTAAGAACACTTATTACTCTTGCGGAAGACCCAGGTTTAGTTTCAAGCAACAAGATGGCAGGTAACAACCATCTGTAACTCATTGAACTTCTTGAGTTAAGACAAGAAGTAATTTATTTCGCTGAGAACAATCTACAGTCTCACTCATTAAGAATATGAATAGACTGAAGAACTGAATCAGATGTATCTAGAAAAAAAGAATAAAAGTGGCACAAGAGGAAGGAAACATTTCCGTTCTTTCCTCAGCAACCAAATCCAAATCTTGAGCTCACAAAGCACACAAGATTTTTCACAAGTATCAAAATTTATTGATATGCCTTGTACACACAGGTAACTATAAACAAAAATTACTTAAATTCCAGTGATAGTAAGAAGATTTGATGCCACAACACCTGTGGTTGGGAATAAAAACGTCCTTGATACTAGGGATACTTTATCCATGCTTTTTAAATATAAGAAATTATTCATCTACAGATATAAATTTACTATCCATCTCTCAAAAATGGTATTATACACATTTTTCAGGAACACCTGCCTGTGTGTAATATTTAGGAATGAAGAGGGGTTGAGTATAACGGGTGAAATGAGTGATTAAACTTTTACAGACACACAGATAAGTGAGAGATGCCAGTAGATGGGAAATGAAACAGGAGACAGTGCAAAAAGCTAGAAACTTTGGAGCACTCAGTCCAAAATGAGGTGTATTTCTCAAACCTCTCCTCTCTAGGGTAAGGGATCAATGTAGACAGGAAGGCAGAACATTGTAAGAGCCAGAGATGATGGGTGATTCCAGGAAAGTTATGTCTTCAACATAAAGAGGACTGTTTCACATATGAACTCACAGAGACTATAGGAGTATGCCCAAGATTTGCACAGGTTCAGGCCAGATGGGATCCCAGCACTGAGAGGGAGAAGCTGATACCAAGTCCCACTCATAATCAAGAAACTATCTCTAACTGATAACCATTGGCAAAGGAAATCTTCTTCCATACTGTTTCTGTAAGCAAAGCAATCCCATTCCAGGATAGTTTCCATGCCTGGGAGTAGGTGTCCAACACAAAAAAAAACCTCAATGATATATTTGTGGACTTTTGGTTTCCTTTTTTATTTGTTTAAGTGATTTTTGGTCTTATTGATCTTGCTTGCAATGTACTGATCTGTGGGCATAGCAACATGTCATTAAGCACCATTTTATTGCTATGTTTCTTCAGTAGTTTTCTTTGTTATAGTCTCACTGGGTATATGAAGCATATGCCAGGATAGGCCTCATGCTCAGAAAGAGCTGGCCAACACAAAAGTAACTCAGTAATATTTTTGTGGAGTTTTTAATTTTTTTAAATTTCTTATTAATTACACTTTATTCATTTTGTATCCCCCCATAAGCCCCTCCCTCCTCCCCTCCCGATCCCACTCTCCCTCCCCTTTCTGCATGCATGCCACTTCCCAAGTCCACTGATAGGAGAGGTTCTCCTCTCCTTTCTGATCTTAGTCTATCAGTTCTCATCAAAAGTGGCTGCATTGTCCTCTACTGTGGCCTGGTAAGGCTGCTCCCCCCTCAGGGGGAGATGATCAAAGAGCAGGCCAATCAGATTATGTCAGAGGCAGTCCCTCTTCCCATTACTAGGTAACCCACTTGGACACTGAACTGCCATGGGCTACACCTGTGCAGGGGTTCCAGGTCATCTCCACGAATAGTCCTTGGTTGGAGTATGAGTCTCTGGGAAGATCCCTGTGTTCAAATTTTCTTGTTCTGTTGCTCTCCTTGTGGAGACCCTGTCCTCTCCAGCTCTTACTATTTCCCACTTCTTACATAAAATTCCATTCACTCTGCCCAACAGTTGGCCATCAGGCTCAGCATCTGCTTTGATAGTCTGCAGGGCAGAGGCTTTCAGAGGCCCTCTGTGGTAGGTTCCTAGTTTGTTTCCTGTTTACTTCTTCTGGCTTTCAGAGGCCCTCTGTAGCAGGTTCCTAGGTTGTTTCCTCTTTTCTTTTTCTTCTGATGTCCATCCTCTTTGCCTTTCAGGATGGGGATTGACCGTTTTAGTTAGGGTCCTCTCTCTTGCTTAGTTTCTTTAGATGCACAGATTTTAGTGGGTTTGTCCTATGTTGTATGTCTATATGAGTGAGTATATGCCGTGTGTGTCTTTTTGCTTCTGGGACAACTCACTCAGGATGATCCTTTCCAGGTCCCAACATTTACCTGCAAATTTCATGATTTCCTTATTTTTCATTGCTGAGTAATATTCCATTGTACAGATGTACCACAATTTCTGCATCCATTCTTCAGTTGAGGGGCATCTGGATTGTTTCCAGCCTCTGGATATTACAAATAAAGTTGCTACAAACATGGTTGAGCAAATGTCTTTTTTGTGTACTTGAGCCTCTTTTGGATATATGCCTAGGAGTGGTATGGGGAAGCGCTATTCCTAGTTGTCTGAGAAAGCGCCAGATTGATTTCCAGAGTGGTTGTACAAGTTTACATTCCCACCAGCAGTG